CTCCTTTGTCGATTAGAGTCAGTTTTATTTCTACTTCCGCGATTACCGAGGTTGTTAGTGGACCCAAGACAAGTTCAAAAATTGACGTACCTGTCGTTTGAACTGATACTTGGTTCAATTACTCTGTCCACGTCCGAATAGTAACACGGTTCCAGGCAACAATCGGTCTTACAGGGATTCTATAGACGATCACATTTTTTGTTTGTATATTAGCAAAAAAAAAGAAAAAACTTGGCTAGGTAAATTATATGGTGATCGTGCGTGCGTCCGGGTGCGTGCGGTGCGTGCGTGTGTGTGTGTGTGTGTGTGTGTGTGTGTGTGTGTGTGTGTGTGTGTGTGTGTGTGTGTGTGTCGTGTGTGGGTGTGTGTGTGTGTGGTGTGTGTGTGTGTGTGTGTGTGTTGTGTGGATGATAGTCCATCTACTGCCTCTTCCTTACTCCTCATTCTCTGCCACTTCGTCCTGTTTAGTTCACTGTGGGAGCAGAAGGGAAAGCGTAGGGACGAGGAGTGCAGAAGGAGGGTAACGAAATCGGAGAGATAGAGTGGGGAACCCGGGCAAGTGGATGGAGGAAAAGGCTGTAGGAGCAAGGAGCAGCGAGCTGCGCTGGTTAGAAGGTGTGTCCGGACTTCCACGCCCTTGCTGTGTGACGTATTTCGTATGTAGTCGTTTAGACTGGGTCTGTCTGCCTTGTGAAACTCCCTTTTGTCCCTCAGCAACAGGGACACCCTTATAAGAAGAAGGGCAGGTGATAGAACGGCGGCAAGGGGGGAAGATCGAAAAAGTGTGTTTCTAATCGTGAGGAAAAAGGAGGACTAAATAAGTATAAATGAACTGAAAGAGAGATTTGAATATTGACAGAATGAAAGACTGTGTATTACGTGTGGAGAATAAGTAACAAAACGATATGTACTCAGTAGTGAGAAATCGGCGGGAGAGAAGGAATAGTGTATCTCAACATTAACTCATATAGATTATTTTGATATGTATCTCCTCTATTATTAGAGGTACATTTTTAAACATTTCCCGTTATGTTTATGTATTGATTTAATGCTTACATTTTCTATCTTATCTTTAATGCTGTCCTTCTCAAAATAGCGATTTTTCAACCTTTTTGATAACAGCTTTTAGCCTTCTGAACTCATGAATACTTGAGTATCCTCAAGCTTCCTCTGTGGCTTGATTTATGTTGAAGATTTGTTTTAGCTGGAAGGTCATGTCAATCATGAGTGAACACACAGGCACTGATCAGCACGTTACATTCTAGGTGACCACAGTAGCAGTGGACACTGGACAATAATTGAAGCTGACAAACTGCTTCTGGTGTCCTTGGATCAGCTTAAGTGTTGCAGTGCATGTGAATTGTTGCTGTGTATCTCTTTATATTTAAGAGAGACATCAAGAGTAAAGAGAGAGACAACAGAGAGGGGATATTCACTTAGAGAGAGACATAAGGGAAGTAAATAAGTGAAGCAGACAAATATGAAAAGACAGACAATTGGGAGACAGACTTTCTTTTAACTAGTACCTGCTGTCACTCTCACCCCTTCGGGAAAGGATTCTGGTGCCAAACATTTTGTAAACTGTATGGGTTCCACAAACAGTAGCCCAGCAGCCACTCGTCTGTTTATCTGTTTGTTGAGACAAGCCAGGAGAAGTTTTATTCCCTAGCTGTCGAACTCTCAATCCTGTCTCATGTCTCAGCCAAGACAGATTCTGTGGAGTGACATGGAGTGATTTTTTTAGAAAATGCTGCTGTTGTAAAGGGGAATGCATTTATTAAAGTTCTGCTGTTTATTACAATTTAGAGATTCAGCAATGTGCTGTAACAGCTTCCAGGGTCTTACAGAAAGAAAGAAAGAATGAACTAAAGGATGAAGGAATAGCATTGCAGTTATGTTTGCGCATTCAAACGTTTTCATTCTGCTCCATTCCTATTTCTGGGATACTAGGCAGTAATGTCTGTATAACCATGTGCCTGGAAAGAGAAAGAGCACACAGCAGAGGGCTGATGAAGTCAGCATTATAGATCTCTTATGGCCGCCCTCTTCACCATTCTCTACCACTGTGCGGAAGTGAAGTATCTGTCTGGATTTTAAGAGGAACACTCAAACCATGCATTATTTAACAGTTTAACACTACAGTATAATGATGGTTGATTGTATACAGAAAACCATACGTCTGCACTGCACTATTTTTTGAATTATAATGAAAGCATTTTTATTTGTTTCATTCTGCAAGTTAC